TAGAGGACATTTTGGGTTAGAATTTGATGAGCAATTTAAAATTTCTTTAGGAGGTAGAGGACTATCGGGGGAAATTGTGCCAGTCTCGCGCGACTTACATGAAATGGAATTGGATATTCTTGAGTTTTATTACTTTTACAAATTTTTTTGAATTTTTCTTATTACTCTGTCATTTGCTCACAAATGTTCCTTCCCTTCTCTTACTCTTTTTTTGCCTTCCAAATGCTATGCTTGAGCATTCCGAGATCAGATTGAAGTTCTTAAAGCTCTATTTTAAAAGTTCAAAAGATCATGTGTAGGCTTTTTGTCGATTTATCTGTCTCGACGAATAAATTCATCGCAATGTTCAATTTCCGTTCGAGTTAGGGTAAGCTATACTTATTCAAAGATATATTTTCGCTATGCTGCCCCTTCAACAAGATTCTCTCCTCAATATGCTGAGACATTTCGGATTATATTCTATTTCATACTTCTCAAGCTTGTTTGGGATGTTTTCTTCTCTCAGTCCTAGCTAAACACTAAAGGTGGATTGTAGTGCATTAATTTCACATATGCATTGTTTTTGCTTTTGTTCTCACTCGAATGCTAAGCCAGGATCTGTCTGGTAGCCATCCAAAGCTCTTCAGTTTTTTCAACTTTTTCATTTCCAGAAGTAGTTATCCACATCTCTTCGCTATTTCCAACCCTAGCAGTTTCAGAATATTGCATGTGAAATAAAATTTAACACTCATATTGACTTTGTAATTGTATATTAGCCAGAAACTCGCCAACATTCTGTGGCTCTAATGTAGTCAGACTTTTTGAATATGTTCTTCACCCCTCTCCACTCTCCTGCAAGGCTCTTTTTTCATTGCTCAAGAATTGTTTGTGCCAGTATGCTGAGTGCTTTTGCCGATACTTTGTCGTCATGGACAGCACCTAATGAGGTATGCGAGAGAGAGAAGCAGCAAAGCAAATCGTTTGGCGCATTTCTCTCAGAATTCATTCTCTATGCATTTGTTTATTTTCATAAAAGAACTGTCTATCATTTCTCTCAATCTGGCGTTGAAGTGCCCGTTTCTTCAATCATTTGATGTTCAAAAAACTTTATTCAATCGTTATTTTGCCGCTTATCTCCGCTGGTGTATTGATCTTACCGTTTAAGCAGGTAATTTTTGCCTTTTGATATTCATTTCTGTTATTTCAGATGCTAGGTGCCAGTAGTAGTGAGGATGATGATGACGAATTTGTAAATGAAGAGCCTGAGGTGAGTAATTTTGACATTTACGCTTTTAGTCTCATTTATTTTTCTTTCTAAATTTTTGCGCAGTAGTGATCAATTTGATAAAACTCATTAGAAATAAATTTATGGCTCTCCTCTGTACCTCAATAATTTTATTCGGGATGAAATATTAAATTGTCCCAAAAGTAAACTCCATTTTTTCAG